CTTTTAGGACATGAAACCTCCCTGGAGGAATTATGTCACTGTTGGTGGGCTTTGAGAGTTTCTAGCCTTACCCCACTTCCAGTTTTCAGTCTCTTTCTATGCTGACCAAATGTGACAAGTCAACTCCTGGTCTGATTGCCTGGTGTTGTGTTTCCCTGATATTTGGACTCTAACCCTCTGGTACCATGAGCCAAAAATAAACTTCTTCCTTAAGTCATGGTATTTTTCACAACACAGAAAAGTAGCTGATACAGTGTGATAGATCACAGACTCATCATTTCCAGTGCTGAGCCACTCATGCTTTCATCTCAGGAACAAAGCCTTCTTTGTCATGTGTGTGCTTTAATGTACTGTGGATTCAGTTCGCTATGATTTTGTTGGTATTGATGATACAGTCATCAGGCTTATTGACCTGTAGGGTTGCCTGTTATTAAAATTTTACTACATTCATTTATTTACAGAGCATGTGTTTGTGTCTGTAGATATATGTACAGGCATGCACATATGGCACACATGTGGAATCAAAGGACAATTTGAAATAGCTGGTTCTCTTTCCACCATGTAAGACCTGGAATCAAACTCAGATGGTAGGCTTGATGGCAAATGCTGTCCACTGAGCCACCTCACTAGCCTGTGTGTGTGTTTGTGTGTGTGTGTGTGTGTGTGTGTGTGTGTGTGTGTGTCTGTGTGTGTGTTATGTGCTATGTGGTGTTCTGTGTGTGTGTGTGTGTGTATGTATGTGTGTGTGTGTATACAGTGTGTGTGTGGTGTGTGCTATGTGGTGTGCTATGTATGCATTTATATTTGTGTGTGTATATGTATGTATCTATATGTGGTGTGTGTGTGTGTGTGTGTGTGTGTGTGTGTGTGTGTGGTATGTGTGCTATGTGCTATGTTGTGTGCTGTGTGTGTGTGTATGTATGTATGTATGTATGTGTATGGTGTGTGTGTGTGTGTATGTGTGTGTGGGGTGTGTGGTATGTGAATATGTGTGCGGTATGTGTATATGTATGGTGTGTGATATGTGGTGTACTCTGTGTATGTACATGTGTGTGCTTTTAATTTTTGAGAAAGAGTCTTGCTGCAAAAGCCCTGAACAGCCTCAAATTCATGGAAATCCTTCTGCCTCAGTCTCCCAATTGTTAGACATAAGTTTTCTTTTCTTATACTACTTTTTCTGATTTGTATCAGGATAGTTGTGATGTCACAAAATAAGTATGAAGATGTCCTTTCTTTGTTGATTACTTGGAAAAATTCAAAAGAAAGTGGCATCAATTCTTTAAACATTTGGTAGAGTACACCAGAGAAACCACCTGTACAGGGAACCACCTCAATTGCTTCCTGCCCCAGGCAGGACAATATTTACAGATAGTTAACTGTCCTTTTCTTTTCTTAGTGGCCATGAGTTGACACAGGAGACAAGTTGTGGGGCTTTTCTTTTTGGCTTTTCAAGACAGCATCTCTCTGTGTTGTCCTGGCTGTCCTGGAACTCACTCTGTAGACCAGGTTGGCCTTGAATTGAGGTCCACCTGTCTCTGCCTCCCAAGTGCTGGAATCAAAGGCATGTGCCACCACTACCGAGCTGTGGAATTCTTCTTAATAGTGATACAGTGAGAAGTACTGGGTCAGAGAAGAAAAGAGAAAAAAAGAGACACCTGAGAAATGTTTAGATATCCCTGATGGCCTTGGGAAGAATACACAAGAAGAGCTGATCCAATGTTGACACCAACTGAGAACTCAGAAGATGGGCTAGAATATGTGTAGTGGGCTTAGAGGGTTAGGAAGCAGAGGGACATTGAGTCAAGATTAAGACAGGCTGAGTATCCCTCATCTATGAGATATACCAGACGTCCAGGTAGAAGAACACTTAAATTCAGGCAGCATTTCAGAGCAGACTCCGATTTGGTAGATATTCAGTGCATTTTAAGTAAATAGGAAGACATCAGGGAAAGTAAACTAAAACTCAAATTTCAGGGGCCATCACTCTCAATAGGAAGAAATGATGAGCATGTTGTAAGTATTAACTGTAGTCTACGTGGATTTGTCTAACTCCTTAAAGAGTGCTGTTATTATTATTCCCAGTCCTACAAAGGAGAAGTTGAGCCCCAATGAGGTTACTACCCACCATCACTGGCATGCCTGTGGAGTTGGGGGGGATGCTGACTGGGGAGCCCCTGTGTTTGGCTACTGTGATGGGGGATATCCTTCTGTATGCTGTGAATATATGCTTCTCTTATTGGTTGATGAATAAAGCTGTTTCAACCAATGGACAAGAAGGATTTGGCCAGGTGGAAAATCCAAACAGGGATAGAGAAAGGTAGTAGTCAGAGTTGAAGAGACACCATGTAGTCTCCAAGGAAGCAAGAGACACCAGAATCACTGGTCAGCCAAGACTACATGGAGGTACACAGATTAATAGAAATGGGCTAATAATTAAGACAGAGTTAGCCAATAAGAAGCCTGAGCAATAAGCCAAAACAGTTTATAGTTAATATAGCCTCTGTGTGTTTTTTTTGGAATAAACAGCGGGTGTGACAGAAACTTCCGTCTACATTACTGTGTTCTGCTGCCCATCGTGGAACAGAGAAGGATGTGCGGACTATACAGAGAGACCCATAGAAGACAGAGGAGTAGTGTTTCCAGGAAGGAATCCGCCACACTGTGAGAGGATGATGAGAAATGACTTTATAGCCAAGATGCCTTCTTGGAATAGTAAGAGCTCCCTCTGTGTGAGTACAGATGGGGACATGAGGTGGAGGCAGGAGGGGACTGCTGTGAACATCTAGTGAGGAAGGAGTGTCAACTGTTGCAATGGACACAGGCTTGTTTGTTCTTAGTGAGAATGAGGCAAGCCTACAATGTGGGGAAGAATCCAGGTGAAGGCGATGGTGTGGGAGAGTGGACAAAGCTTGGCTGTCTCCTAGGAAATGGTACGTCAACTCTGCTTGGGACATCTGCACATTCCCAGCTTTTTATTACATATATTGAGGCAAATTCTTCCAGGTCTTCTTTGAGACTCATCTCTTCTCATCCACATAAGGGCTTGTCAACAGTCTTCATGCTTTACCTTCCTGGGGATTTTCAAATGTCTGTTGCTGAAGCCCCCCCCCCCCCCCCTGTCATTTTTGCTTGAATTTGTATAATTAATGCAGAGTCTTTCTGTAGAGCTCATCCAGACTTAAAACTCAAAATCCTGTTCTGGCCTTCTAAGTGCTGGGATTGCAGGTATGTACCACCATACTCGGCTCCAAACCTAGACTCTTGGCCACTCAGGTCCCTGCACACAAACACTCTCCCTGGTGTCCTTTTATATGCTTTACAATTACTTCACACTTTACATGTCCTTGATTGTATAGTCACTCAAATACCTTCTTCTCCATCTGTAATAACTGTTGGCAGGGCATACACAGTCTTATTCTATAGGGTTAAACTCTGGTGAGACTTCTGCTGAAGTCTTTATATAACCTTCAAATTTCTTTGAGCTGTGTTTGCTTCTTTTTAGAACTGATGGCAATAATTGTAGGTGCCACTGGCATGTAGCCCATTGGAGAACCACAGTTATAGCCTCTGTGGTGCTTTGAAAGAAAATGGCCCCCAAAAGGAGTGGCACTATTAGGAGATGTTGCCTTGGAGGAAGTGTGTCTCTGTGGAGGCAGGCTTTGAGTTGTTATATATGCTGAAGCCACGCCCAGCGTTTTAGACCACTTCCTGTTGTCTGCATATCAAGATATAGGACTCCTAGCTACTTCTCCAGCATCATGTCTGCCTGCTTGCCACTATGTCACACTATGATTATAGTGGACTAAACCTTCGAAAGTGTAAGTCAGCTCCAATTAAATGTTTTCCTTTATAAGAGTTGCCGTGGTCACGGTATCTCTTCACAGCAATAGGAACCCGAACTAAGACAGCCTCTGTTCAGTAAAAATAATGTTTGGAAGAAATGTGATCAGAAGCATATGCAAGGCACTGGCACCAAGAAAGGTACAAAGTGGTAGATCATTTTCTGAGATGTATTGAAGGAGATGAAGAGAGATGCTGGCCCATGCATATTCATGGGTTTATAGAGACAGTGGAAGGGCTGAGGGACAATCTTCATGGAAAGTTAGAGGTGAGAAGGCTTGTTGAGAGTGAGGGAAAGGGGTTTCTATTTGGGGTTGGGCTGAGTAATAAAGCCAGTCAGGCTGTTGCAGGACCAGGCAAGGGGAGGCCAAGGCTCCTGTACAATGGCTGGAGCTGGCATGGTCTTTATAGATTAAATGTCTAACCTGCTCCTGAAAACCGTCCAGTGTGTGATATTTCCCATTTATGACAGACATGGAATTCATCAGGGTGGCCGTACTGGCTGATTTTGTGAGTCCACCTGACACAAGTTAGAATCATCAGAGAGGAAGGAAGGAAGGAGCCTCGACTGAGGAAATGCCTCCATGAGATCCAGCTGTAAGGTATTTTCTCAATTAGTGATCATGCGGGAGGGCCCAGCCTATTGTAGGTGGTACCATGGGCTGGTAGTTCTGGGTTCTATAAGAAAGCAGGCTGAGCAAGCCATGAGCAGCAAGCTAGTGAACAGCTCCACTCCACTGTCTCTGCATCAGCTCCTGGCTCCAGGATCCTGCCCTGTTTGAATTTCTGTCCTGACTTCCTTCAATGATGAACAGCAATGTGGATGTTTAAGCCAAATAAATCCTTTCTTCCCCAACTTGCTTTTTGGTCGTGGTGTTTGGTTGCAGCATCAGAAACCCTAAGACAGTGACTACAACCACTTTATGTGTAAACTATGAAGTAATTCCATTTGCTGTGATAAAAAACAAACAAATAAACAAACAAAAACAAATCAACCAACTTCCTGGCATGTAAAGACAGAACACTCACCTGGGAGGTAAAAAATGGATCACATGCATCTTACATGATCCTTGTTCCCCCGGAACTCCTTATGAATTAATTCAAATTGAGTGAAAACTTTTATGTTTTATTTTTCAGAGTGAAAATGCCCACATCTTTCAATACAAAAATTAAAATATGCTTATTTGAAGCTCTGTGAACATGACAAGCGATGAACGTTAAAATTCATTCTTCAGGTTGGTAGATGCTGACTACATAGCCATCCCTTCTCACTGAAGAATCACTTTTCTTACCAGAAACTAGACACTGATCACCTAGAGCACCGTGGGCTCCACCACCACAATGCATGCACTCAGCTACCATTTTTGTTTTTTACAAGGAATAGTCACATCTTCATGAAATATGACTTTCAGTCCTGGCATGGTGCTAGGTGAAGTATTCAGACTGAAGCAAGGGTTAGTTGGGAAAGACTTCAATGCCTTTTCTTTGGAGGGTAATAGGGTATTAACTCATGCAAAACAAAAGTATCCCCATTTACTCTGTGTGTCTGAGCTGCAGGCAGAACAAGGGCTAGTGCATGTCCTGCCCTGAGAACATGCTACTCTTACTGAGTGTGAGTGTACTGCCTTTCTAAGGCAGTCATATCCCTTTTTTCTCACAAGTATTACTAAAGGAGGCTGCAGTTACACTGTGTAGCTCTCTGAGGAGAAAGAATTTGTTGCTCTAATAGTCTGAGAATCACTCTAGCAGAGTACATCCTACCTCTAGATTTCCTGTGCTGGATGTAGTCCATGAGTTATTTTCTGGATTTAGTAATAATAAATGTATTTGAAACCACCTATGCTTCAACTGCTTTTTCAGTTAAGGACTTCAGCAAGTCCTTGTAGACTGTGGAGTTCATGAATCGGGGATAGGAGTCTCTGTGCATTAGGGTGTAAATCTGAAGTTGAGCATCATCGAATGTGTGCTGGGATGGCTCCGCCATGTTTCTGTTGATGCCTTCCCGTACTCGGGAGTCCAAGCTGACCTGTGGACAGAGAGGCAGTTGTATTCATTACTTCTCTTGTAAATCTATCCAAATGCCCATATTGTTTTCTCTTACAAAAGACACCAAACCAAACAAGATCACCCAAAAGTCTGAACTGCTGAGAGAAACTAAAGAAGGAGGAAGGGAACTCTGGGAATTCAGTGCCCCAGTCGCCCCGAGAAGGCCTATGGAGCAGATTGCTGGCCCAATGCCAGAGGACGCTGTAGGTCATACTGAGGGGTCAGGCTTTGCATTTCTCACAAGTTGTAAGGAACTCTGGCTGCTTTAGAAAAACCAAACAATGCTTTGCTTCCTTTAAACCAGTGTAAGATGGCCTTTCAAGATAGATGGTAGCATGCACTGACTTATCCCTGCTGATGAAGGGATAACCTGGGAGCTGCAGGCTCCTGCCCAGCTAGAAACTGGGTGTTGGCCGACAGGAAAGTGTCTATAAAGTGAAGGGCTCAAATCACAGGACTTGAAAGTGACACCCAAGTTTCTATCTGAAGGGATTGCTCACCTGAGCATAGGGCTCTGGCAGGCCTTTTCCTTCTCCCCAATTCCCTCTGCCTTGCTAAAAACTGTTAGACTACATTTCTGAAGCTAGCCCCCAAGGTCCATTCCCCTATTTGGCCAATCCTTCCTTTTGAAGCTGACTACCAAGTTCCACCTATCAAAGTATTGAAACACAGAAATCAGACACCCTCTTTGGTTCATTTAATTACCATCCCCAATTAAAGTTAAAATTAAAATTAAACACCCCATTCTAACACAGGGTTTCTCCTTTCACCTTTATAAACAAACATTTGCTTATGAGCCCCATCTGTCATCCCCTTTCTATCAAGGCAGGTGACAAATGCTCCTTCCCCCTTCCCCTTGTTCTGTTCTCCTTCTCCTTCTATCCTCTGTCTTTGTCCCTTATCCCTGAACTCTGTCCCTCTGGGGACAAATAAATCTCCTTTGTGCTGAGAACTTGGCCTTGGAGATCCCGAGCTGATACCTTCTTTGCCTTTCACTATCCCAGTTGCCACCGCTGTATCTATGTGAGCTAAATGTGAATTCCTGTTAATAAACTTATCTAGGAAAGTGAAATAATGGTTGTTTCTAGGCCTGTTTGTTTATAAATTTTGTTTGTTTGTTTGTTTGACTTTTTGAGACAGGCTTTCTTTGTGTAGCCTTGGCTGTCCTGGAACTTACTCTTTAGACCAAGTTGGCCTAGAACTCAGAGATTTCTTGCCTCTGCCTCCCCAGTGCTGGGATTACAAAGGTGTATCCCACCACTGCCCAGCTGTTTATAAGTATCTTTATTAGAAATAAAGTGCTTGAAAACCAGCAAGCTCTTTCAATTCCCACAATTTAGTGCCTTGTGTATCTCTATTTTCTTTTTCTTCCTCCCTCCCTTTCTTCCTCTATTTCTCCTTTCCTCTCCTCACATCCTCCTTTCTGGACAGTTTCACTATGTAACCTTGAACTCTGTGTCCAAGGTGTTCAGATTGCAGGTGTGCACCACTATCCTATTTCGTTAACACATTTGTCTATGTCCTTCCCCTCTGCTACACCCTGTGTTTTCCTGGATTTGTGTCTCAGCTTCCCAGTTGGCTTTCTGGAGTCTGCCTACCAGCTCTCCAAACACATCCATAATTTGGCCAAGGGGCTCTTCCTAACATGCAAACTCCATGCTGATACTCATCTGTGCCTTGCCCTGGTTTGCTGGATGAACTTCATAGTGTATTTGGTCATTTGCTTCCTTTCATTTCCAGCTCCATCTTATTCAGCTCAAAAGGTGTCCAAACCCCCTGGGATTTAAGGAAGGAAGGAGCTAGAATGGTCTTGTTTTTGTTTGTTTGTTTTTTTGTTTTTTTCTGCCTGGGACAGCTTTTCCCTCTGCTCTGCCTGATGAAGTCCTCTACAAGATCCTTATAGTAACCAGACCACTGTCTAGAGGGGAGTCCTGCCATAAGACCAAGCTTGTAGTTTTTACTGCAGAAAACTAAAAAAAAAAAATTTAGTTCTAAAACAAGGCCCAAATTGAACCTCATTTTGTATAGCTCTGCCATGAAGCATCTCTTTTTCTAGGTCTGCCTTTGTCTACCACAGCTGATAATTTGCTGGCACCTGGTGGCATTGCAGGGGCACCTGCTGCTGCTGTGCTCCCACCCTTGGCTTAACTGGTCCTAGCTCCAGATTGTCCTCAATCCCTTGTGCTTCTGGCAATTTTCTTTTCATTATATTTGTCCATCTTCATCCTTTCCTTTTTTTTCCATTCATTTATTTAGCTCATAGTCATGCACAATTATGATACAGAATACAGTATGTTCACAATGGCATGGCTAAATTAAACCAATTAACAAGTTATATCACACATATTCATCATTTTTGTTTTGAGAACACTTAAAGTATACTATCTCACAACTTTTAAAATATAGCATATTGTTATCAACCATATTTATCATGCTCTCAGTAGACCTCAAGACTTCAGAGAGTCCATGCCTCTTGTCCAACTGCAGTTTTATATCCTTAAACCAATCGTTTCCCCATTGTTAAAAGACCCACATTGAAGCCTAATAGCCAAATTCTGCTCTCTGTTCCCATAAGTTCATCATTTCTAGGTGACACATAAAATTGAAATTGTGTGACATTTGTCTTCGGTCCTTTCTTTCTATGGCTTACTGTACTGTGGCGCCCTGGCTTATTAAGAGCTTCTGCCTTATTAAGAACCACAGTCTTGGCCGGGCTTTGGTGGCACACGCCTTTAATCCCAGCACTTGGGAGGCAGAGGCAGGAGGATCTCTGTGAGTTCGAGGCCAGCCTGGTCTCCAGAGCGAGTGCCAGGATAGGCTCCAAAGCTACACAGAGAAACTCTGTCTCGAAAAAAAAAGAACCACTGGTCTTAGTAGAACACAGCAGGAGATAATATTGATTGTGAAATTGGTGATACAAGGCACCTGAACTCAAAAAAACCCTAACTTTCATGACTGCAGATTTGAAGAAACATGGCTAAGAAATGGGAACCTGCTTAATCTCACTACCAGGGCATTTTTTTGTGATATTAAGATATGCCATGGGGAAAACTTTCACAGTTTCAGCACTGTTGGCAATGCTGTAACTAGAAAGACACCCCAGAAAAAACTTTAAATGAGTGTTTATAGGGCACTGTGTTTTTAAATTTTAAACAACAGGAAGGCTGTAGAGTTTTTACCCAGCAAGTGGGCAGCCCAGGGTTTAGCCTGAGAATCACAAAAGAGAAAACAAAGCAAAGGAAAGGCAGTGTCAGTGTGGGGGCTTGCACTCCTCTGAGCAAAGCTGCTGTGAATCATAGATGTTTTTTCCAAGAAGAAAAACCTGAAAAATGCTTCACACTTTTTTCAGGGTCTCCTGAATCTGAATGCTACAACTGGGAGGAACCCATGCTGTGTTTGGGAATATCCCTACGTGTGCAAGCAGCACATGACCAAAATAGAAGAAGGGGATTTAGCAATGGCTCTAAGAAGACAGTTTTGCAGACACACACCTCTTTAGGAGAGAGAATAGAAATGTAGTCTTCATATATTATCTTGGCTTTCTCCTCAATAATGTTTTTATTAGCTTCCCTTTTCAGTTCTTCACAGGCCATCCAGAAAAGCATGTTTTCTTCACTGAATTCTGTCCGAAGGAATTCCCGGAATGCGTTTCTTCCAGCCGGAGTGACCATTAGGTTGTCAAATGAGTGGGCCCAGGCACAGACTTCTTCCAGAGTGGGGGTGGGGCTGAGCAGTGGTCAAAAGGAACAAAAAGGAGGTGTTACTGCTGGTGAATCCAAGTTTGTCACAAAGCCTTCTGTCTCTGCTACACAAGCAAATGGTTGACTCTTTTAGGAAGAGAGAGCACCATTCCTATCTCCTTAAGCCTTTGACAAAAATACTTACAAGCTATGGCAAGTGGCTCTGTTGGAGTATGTTGTAACTTCTTTTTTGTTGTTGTTGCTTTTAAAGACTGGGTTTTTCTGTGTAACAACCCTGACTATCCAGGAACTAGTTTGGTAGACCAGGCGCTCCTCAAACTCACAGAGATCTGCCTGCCTCTGTTGGGATCAAAGGTGTGTGCCACCATGTCCAGCACATTGTAACTTCTTGACCAACCTTACAGCCATACTTTGTTCACATCTGGGTACAAGTGGCAATACTTTTAAATTACAGAAGTAAAGAAGAATCCTGCAACCATCTGACCCTAAACTTCTCAAATACCTCAAATAGAGCTAAGTCACACTTAACACTGGCCCAACAGATCAATGGTCAATGTCCATTGAATACATTTTATGATTCATGTAATATTTGAAAAAGAGAAAAGAACATACACATAATCCCAAGCTATGAGGGATGGTGTAGTGAAAGATTCACCAGATCCATTGTACCTGTCGTAAATTCCGTAGTGATGGATCTGGGCTCTGCAGTAACTTTTGTAAATAATCAGGGACTGTTACCTGAGTGGCTCTTCCTGAAGGATTCACAGCCTTTGCACAACTTTGTCTCCAGACAAACCTGGCAAACCAGGATATCTGGACTGGGAGGAGAACTGCTTAGGTGATGGTTCCTTCAGACAGCTGCCAGATCAGATAAGAGGTTTTGGTATTCAGAAATTGACCTGCTGCAGGTGACTTCTGTGTAACAATAAAGAGGCTTTTTCAAAGCCATGAGACAGTCAGTTCATCAGAAGCTGACAAGTAACACCAAACATAGGCAAGATGGTGACAGTGACCAGCTAGGAATGCATCCTTGACCTGAAGAGCCCAAAACAATTTGGTATGGGAAGCCACTCATTCTGGGAGGCCTGCTGAGCTCCACTTCAGCTTACCATCTTTGGTTTTTTGTTTTGTTTTGTTTTTGTTTCTTGTTTTGTTTTGTTTTGTTTGTTGTTGTTTTTTGTTTTTTTTTTTTGTTTTTTGAGACAGGGTTTCTCTGTGTAGCCCTAGCTGTCCTGGAACTTGCTTTGTAGACCAGGCTGGTCTCAAACGCACCGAGATCTACCTCCCTCTGCCTTCCAATTAAAGGTGTGAGCCACCACCGCCAGGCCAGCCTTTGAGTTTATTTTAACTGTACTCAGATCAGAAAAATCTTTTTTCATAGTGACCCTTAATATTTCCTTTCTTATGTTTTTTCACAGTCCCATCTTTATGTTTCACTGAAGAATGTATTCCATAGTGAGGGACCAAAAATTAAAATTAATAAAATTTTAAAAACTTAGGCCCTGAAAAGGGAACTTCTAATGACTGGGAATGCTGTGGCTGGTGCCTGAGCCTTGCTCTCAGAGAAGGGGAGAAGACCTTCCACCACTTGGGTCAACATTCCTAGGTCTGCTAATTGCTTTTCATAAGGTTGTAAAGATTCTCCAGCCCAGGGGATAACTGACAGACCCTGTATCCTCATAACCCCGCAAACTTCATGCCCTGTCTTATCTCACTCAAATGGATCTTGCTTAAAATATATGGTTACTGCACTCTGTACTTTGTATGACCTTAAGTAACTATGGAAACTCTGAAATTTGTGGCCTTCAACAAATTTGTGGTCTGCCCCTTTAAAAGCTTCCCTTTTTGGCTGGTTGGGATCTCATCCCCCCCCCCCCATGGAGTGAGATCCAAGCTGACCAGCTTGAACAATAAAAAGAAACCTTTTGCTTTTGCATCAGAGTGTTGACTCCTTGGGTTTGGTATGGGACTCCTCAAACCTGGCACAACAATAGATTTAAAGAAAATTTATAAGATGGCCAATACATTGTCTTCTGTGACTTGCTTTTCCCATCTCATTAACTCTCTGCCTTGTGAGTAGGACTTGCATCTCACTTTCTGTTTTTGTACAGATTTTGGCATCACTGGTAATAGTTGTCTCTCAAACACCATATAGAAGAGTAATGATCTTCTGGATCATGTTGTGGAAGTGGTCTATAAAACTGTCTGGCTACAATGTTGACTCTGGATACAGTATTACTGGTTGGATTTTGTTACCCAAAGGCAGTTCAATTGCAAGAATCTCAGGATATGGCCTTGTTTACAAGTGGGCCCTTGGGCCGGAGAGATGGCTCAGCTGTTAAGAGCACTGGTTTCTCTTCCAGGGGATCTGCGTGCAATTCCTAGCACCTACATGGTGCCTTCTGAAGCACCAGGCACATGTGTAGTAAACAGACATACATGCAGGCAAACATCTACCTGTACATCTAAAAACAAATTATTGAAAAGAAAAAAATGGGTTCTTGCAGACTTAACCATGTTAGGATGGGGTCACTAGTCGGGGCTTACTCTGGAATAAAACTGAAACTCATTAGCAGAGGAAATTTGGTATAGACATGAGCAGAGAGAGACACTCTGGAGACACATGGAGAAGGTGACCATATGACTGGAGCAAGGTGTATACAAGCCAGTGGACACCAGAGGTGCAGGCAGCTGCCCAGTGCCAGAGGACACGGAAGGGAGTCTGCTCCAGGGACTCAGTACAGAGAAACCCTGCCCTGCTGACACTCTGGATCTTGGATTTCTGGCCTTGGAACTGTGATATAAGAGGTTTTATATGTTTTAAGCTATTGGGGCTTGGATACTTTTTAATGACAAATAAATGTAGAGATTTACCAGTTGTTCATACAGTTTAACCGTTTGGAACTATTTGGGCCCTTTAAGTTTCTATGCTGTATGATAATATCTCCTTCTTGTGTGGAAGTTGGACTTGACTCACTAATGATTAGTTTCTTTTCTTAGAAATATTAAGGTTTTTGCCAGGTGTAGCAGGAGACAGAGGCAGGCAGATCTCTGTGAGTTCGAGACTACCCTTCTTAACATAATGAGTTCCAAGACAGCTAGACAGCTAGGGCTACATAAAGAGAACCTGTCTCAAAAAAAGAAAAAAAACCAAAGAGTAAGTAAATAAAAAACTAAGTATTAAGATTTTGTTTGCTCTATTTATTATATTCTCAGCTCCCCATATTTTGATATAGTTACGTTTTCATATGGTTATTTTTTTATTCATTGAGGAGGTGCTGAATTGGAAGGGATCTTAGAAATATCAAACAGCACAGGATTTTGTTGTGTATGTTTTTAAAACTCCTGACTTGTGTTTTAATTGTTTGGGGGCTATTAGTACAGTCTGCTCAATAATGATCCCAGTCAAACAGTTTACAAAAGCCAGGCCTGGATGGTGGTGCCTGCCTCTAACTCCAGTACCCTGGAGACTATGGAAGTAAGATTATAAGTCTGAGGCCAGCCTGCTCTATGTCACATGGAAGCCCAGTGGTAGAACACTGCTTAGCATGTGCAAGACCCTGAATTCAATCCCTGGTACTGTCCCAAACTCAAACAATACAAGCAAAAATCAATCAAACAAACACAAACAAGCACACAAAGCGAAACCAAACTTTATGAGAAAAAAACTTGATCAACTGTTATAAATATTTTCTGTATGCTTGAGAACTTTTTTCAGATGGCCAAATGTAGCTTTTACAGAAGCTGTGCAAACTTGTTTTTAGCATTAACTGTACCTAGTTTGTCTAATTCTTTATTCTTTAGGGACATCCATGTGATAGCAGGTATGTAAATCTATTTAGGAACTTATATTAGTTACATGCAAGTCCTCTCACCCTTTAGCATTTCATTCCAGCATTTCAGTAGTTAGTGACTTTCTCTCTGCAGCTCTATTGAGTCCATTTTGTTTGGTATGAGTGTCGGGAAGTGGTATAGAGGAGAGGGTAGAGTCAGACTCTGGTCAGACTGAGTTTAAAAGGAAGCAACACTATTTCTGTACTAGCCTCAATAAAGCACTAATCACAAACTATGATAACCAAGAAAGGGACTCTTTCAGGCAGACACAGCTTGCCATGGAGAATGTAGGCTTCGGTTGAGCACACAATTCCCCCTTGCCAGCTGTTCCTGGGAAGAGGACGGCCAGCAGAAGGCAGCACTGGTAGTCATAAACGTGGGGGCCATGGTCTAGTTACTTAATCCCTCTCAAATACTGAGAACAGTTGCTTTCCTGGTTGTGAAGTTCTAAGCAACCAGAATGACAGCATAATCGTGCAGACAGTTGTTGGCACATGGTAATTGTAATTATGTTAGTCACTACACTAAATTATCTGGGAAAGAGTTGCTCTTTATTTTTAACTGCTTTATTTTTCTTGTTTTGACATTTTTTGGATTTATTTCTGCTGTCTCTTTGTCAGTTGTACTTGATTGTTTAGCTCTGCAGGTTGAAAACAAGTGTCATCTGGACTGAGGACATACATCAGTAGACAAGAACATACCTGATACGTTGGAGGTCCTGAATTCCATCATCAGCACTACATAAACTGGGCAGGAGGGTCCAGAGTTCAAAGCTGAAGTGAGTTTGAGGCCAGCCTGGGCTACATGAGAACATGTCTCAAAAATGTATCAACTAACTCTATGATTATTACACAATGTGTGTGTATTTATAAAATAGTCAATATCCACATCTCTATTAATCCTGTGCTCACATTTTGTATATGTCAGAATTTTGATTTGTGATCTTACTCTTGCTTCCTGGAAAGCTTTTCTTAGAACTTCTTTCTTGGAACTCAGGCCATCACCCTTGGCAGCAAGCATATTGAAGAGCTAAGCCATATCCCTGGCCCTGCAGTGCTAAAATGTTGACAAGAATGTATAACTTTTTTAAAAAAAAGCCAACCCTTTTTAAAATGTTGAGATAATGATGGGATTGCCCATGTGTTTGTAAGATAATATAACAAGTGATAACAGACAAGTGATGTACAGTGATGGATATATACTGAAATTAGAGGTTTTTACAATACTGTGAATAAAAAACACATATTACTAAGAGGAAAAATAATGTAGAGGCTCTTATAAGTGGAGACATACTGAGAGAGGACAGTACAGGACCACAGTCCTCAGTTTCCTCACTGGGGACATCCTGCAAGAGGACAGTTCAGTTCCTCCTGTGTCAGTCTTCCAAGCTATACTGTGAAGGTTTACACTACCACCTTACTTCCTCCTTACTTTCTACCTTTCATTTCTTCAAATAAGTTAGAGCTCATTCCTCCACATTTTTTTATGGATACCTTTAACATCTGAAATCCTTTCAGCTTTCAACTGAAGGTTGTTTTATTGACTCTTGTGGATCAAGAGCCCATTTTTGTGTGGCCTAATCTCTGGGAAGTCTGGGGTAAAAAACTGAGGATGTCTATCATTCCTTCAGGCAGTGACTTCTTTGGGGTGCTCAGAAGAGTTGCTGGCCCAGGACTCCTAAAATGCTTTTCAGGAATCTGGGAATTTTAGTTTCAATGTCTGCCCTCATGGCTTCAGGCACGGATGCTGTCAGCTTAACTAGATAAAGCCACAACCGATGACAATACTACAGGTGAGAAGGCATTGCCCCTCTACTCACCGAGCATCACCACTTAGCAAAGTGATCATGAAGCTGATGTGGGCTATAGCTGAAAGCAGATTCCCAGTATCCTGAGAGGACCCTACAACATACTGCCAGCCAGGGAAAGGATCCACAGGCAGAGTGTGAAATGTGATTTCCACTCATCATGTATTGTTTTTACACCATCATAAAGTCCCATTGTAAGCCGGGAGCAGTCTATACTTTCTTAGAGAAAGATGCTCAACTTTTTCACTTATTGAGTTGCTTTTTCAAGTATTTCCTTAATTTTTGCACAACTCTTAAAATGTGTCAAAACTAAGGTTTTGCAATGGGAAACTCTGTGATCTGAAAGTTAGAAAGATAAATCTCAGTATTGTTTTGTTTTATTTCACCATGGTGCTGAAAATTGAACACAGGGCCTTGTGCAGGGTGAAGGTTGTATACCAAGAATTTGATACATAGATGTCCTAGTTAGCCTTAACTGTCAACTTGATCCAGCCTAGATCATCTAATAAGAGGAAAGCCCATGGAAGAACTGACTACATCAGATTGTCTTGTGGGTATATGTGTGGGGGACTGTCTTGACTGTTAATTGAAATAGGAGGGCGAAGTCTACTGTGGTCTACACAATTCCCTGGGCAGACAGTCTTAGACTGTGTAAGGAGCTATCTGAGTCTGAGTGAGATATTTAGCAGTGATCCTCCAGTTTCTGTGGTACATCCTTGGACCCTGCTTAGAGGTGATGCTGCATGAAATAGCAAGTGGACCTTCTTTCAAGTTTCTGCTTCAGTCCCTGTCCTGATTTCTGTTAGTGATAAACTGTGGATTGGGAGCATAAGTCAAATAATTCCTTTCTTCCCATAAGAAGTCAGGCATAAAACTGATTGGAAGATTAAGTATTTAATAATGATCAAGATGACTGCCAATATAATTAAATTCAAATGCTCACTTAAAGACAGGCTCAAAAGGTCTTGTAATGTTTACCAAAAAAGTTACAACAATTAGAGTCACACAAGGCAAATGCAACTAATTATGTGTAACTATAGTACTTGAGCAGATGACAGCAAGTGCTGCCAACTGTATGAGTACCCAGCAGATGACAGCAAGTGCAGCCTCATATATAAGTACCTAGCACCGGAGCAGATCTTCAGTCACAGACAGACCATGTTCTAGGCCTGGGGGCTGTGACACCATGGTGAAGTACCCATTTAGCACTGTGAGCATCTACACCAAAAAGCAGACATTTATCACTGTGTTTTGTTAATTGGATGTGACTCTGAACAAAGCCAGGCCAAGCTACACTGGACACTTGCCTTTGGCCAGGCTCACTTCCCTACTCAGTATTCACAACCACCCTTGACTGGCTTAGCTACAACAAACTATCATCATCCTGGCTTTACACACACAAAAATGAAGGCAGAATGTGGCCATTATTAAGCCAAGGCTGAAGGTCACACAGCAGGACAATCAGCTTTCTGTACTCTGCCCCGGTACTTGGGAGCTCTGGCACAGAATATAGTGCCCTGAGGCCTGTGAGCCACCTGCTATTTCCAACAAATTCATATACTGTGGGAAGTGGGCAGGGCTGTAGCTGTATCTCCCAAATTTAAAAACCCTGGGCAAATATACATAAGGTAGAGATGAAAAGAAGTTTACATAATCGGGATGGGCTGCTATTCTATCTGCAAAGATAAACAAGTGAATGGAAAACTATTTGAGCAATGCTATTAGGATATTTGTCTAGTGTCTGCAGTTATCAAGGTATAATATTAAGAACAGGTATAAAGGAGCTGGAGAGATGACTCAGCAGTTAGTAGCACTGGCTGCTCTTGTTGAGGACTGGAAATTCATTCCCAGCACCCATGTGGTGCCTCATAGGCTTCTGTAAATCCAGTCCCAGGGGACCCCGAGAGCCCTTTCTGATTCACAGGCGGTACCAGGCATGCACCTGGTGTAATATATATATATTCAAAACACTCATGTACATGAAGTAAATAGTCAAGAAAGAATAAGCTAAAAAACAGGTGTAAGAACAGTTAAAGGAAGGCAAGTCTATAGAAAATTTGATAAAAGAAAGAAGGATCAAGAGAAGAAATGATGGTATGTATGCTGTGAATATATGTTTCTCTTATTGGTTGATGAATAAAGCTGTTTTGGTCAGTGGACAGGCAGGATGTAGCCAGGCAGGAAGTATAGGAGGGGCTACCAGACTAAGAGAATTCTGGGAAGAGGAACACAGAGAGTGAGTTGCGATGAGAGACAGATGCCATGTAGCTCCTGGGAAGATAGGATGCTGGGCATTCTCTGGTAAGCCCAAGACCATGTGGAGATACATAAACTAATAGAAATGGGTTAATAATTAAGAGAGAGCTAACCAATAAGAAGCCTGAGCCATAAGCCAAACAGATTATAATTAATATAGCCTCTGTATGTTTATTTGGGTCTAAATGGCTGCAGGATCAGGAGGGACAGAAACTTTTGCCAACAAAGAAATTTAAACAGAAAAGCAATACAAAGCTGGGTTTGGAGGTTGCACAACAAAACCCAGCATCAGAAGCAGGAGGGCTAAAAGATCCATCAGACCTGGGGCTCCCAACTTACTCCTGTATCAAATACCCCCAAATTAAACATTAATACTGAAACATAAAATTAAAAATAAAAACATTACAGACCCAGGAATCCAGCAAGCAAAAGTGTGGGATATTCACAAGTCACTTCCTTGAGATATACAAGCAGTCATGATTACTAGGCAGGGAACCCTTAGCCCCCCGTGCCTGTGAACATTCAGGGATACAGTGTTTGTGAGCCATTGCCTGTGCTGAGTGGGCTTTGGTGATGAATCTGTCTTCGAGTCACCCATGTTTCTGCAGGTAACCGCTTGTTATGTTCATGTGAGTAACCCTAACACACTCACTGGCTCATTAAGTCTTTGATCTGCTGTCAATGCCCTATCTAGGGGGAGTAGATGCTCGTTCATGTCTTCCAGGAAAAGTCATACAATACTTCAGCCATTTAGAATTAATTTGTAACTGAAAATGGAATTCTTTAATTTTCCTGAAGACCAAATAGGATGTATCATTATGGTTTTTACTCTTAAAGATATGTTATGTAAAAATAAAATTACATCATTATGGGTTATCAAGAGGGATAAACATTGGTACCAAAGAATGGGCTGACTTTCCCCCTGTTATGAAATGAATTAGAAGGAATTCTGCAGGGGAAAGGGAAAGCCACATTGAGATCTGATGTTACTACATGGTAGTGAAGTGAAAAATGTATGCGTTTTGTTGAAACTTGCAATGCAAAAGGCAAAAGAGAGATGCTGGCATCTCGGGTAGTACTGTGAGCTAATAAAATCAAGAGTTCACCTTTCTTCGCACTCTGGAATGTCTGTTCTGAGCTCATGGGAGGCTCTCCTGGGTCTCTGGTCTTCTTGGTTTCTGACCGTGAGACTGTAAGAAACAAGACAATTACGAGTTACTGAGATGTCTGAAGGAATGTATTTCCTAAATGAATATTTTTAAAGACAATTTTAGATACTCAAATAGAATTCTTCTTCTTTTTTTTTTGAGCTGTGACCCTGATTATTATTTTTAAGAAGACCCAAAGTGGTTGGAGAGATGGCTAAGAGATAAAAAGCACTTTCTGTCAAGAACCTGGGTTCAGTTCCCAACACCCACATGGGGGCTCATGTTCCAGGGGATTAGAAAACTTCTTTTGACTTTTGTGGACACCAGTATCACACGTGATACTAACATGTGTAGGAAGAACACACAAATAAAAAAAATAAAAGTAAACAAATCTTTTAAAAAGAAAACAAGCCAGAGGTGGTGATATATGCCTTCACTCTCAGCACTCAAAAGGCAGAGAGATTGAGGTCTGTCTAGCTCTATGAGTTTTAGGCCAGCCAGGGGTACATAATGAGACCCTGTCTCAAAAATCCAAACAAACAGAAGTAAATGAGTTTTTGCTTGATGTCTACAGAGGTCAGAAGAGGGCATTGGACAGATCGATCCCTTTGAACTGGTGTCACAAGTATTTGTGAACCACTATGTTGATGCTGGGAACTGAGCCCATGTCCTCTGTAAGAGCAGCCAGTGCTCTTACCTGTAGTAGCTATATATGGTTTAGATACAAGTTCTAATGATAGTTATTTTTATGGATTCTATATTCTTCTTTACTCATCAATTCTAATAAAGGTTTTTTTTTTTTAACTTTTAGGGTGTTTTGCCTCATCTAAAAATGGGAGGATTTTCTCTGTTCTATTGCAAGTCGTAGGCTCTATCTTTATGCTTTCTCTTGGCTAATGCCTACCACACAATGTTAAACAGTGGGAGAGATGGTCATGTCTTTCTCTTATTCTTCACTTTAGCAGGAAAGTTTCAGAATCTTAACAACTGAATGTTTTGTTTTGATGCTGAAGACCAAAGTTTTTTTTTATATATATATATATATATATATATATATATATATATATATATGGAGAGAGGAGGGGGGAGGGAGAAAGATTTATTTTGGCATGAAGATAAGATGATTAAAAATGCAGGAATCCTTTTGACTTACTTCTTTTATGAAGCTAAGGCTAAAACTTTTTAATAAATAATGGGTTTTAAAAATAAAACAAAACAAAAACATTTGAGAGGCACTGGGGTGGCATCCTCTCTGAAGGAGCATTCATCCTGCCTGACTTCCAGGCTTCTTTTAAGCAGAACACATGACTGCACAGTGGGTATGCAAAAGCCAAGAGAAAAAGGAACTACGAATCTGAGACAAGGCTACAAAGAGAATTGGATGCTCTATTGTGAACTTTAACATTTTTCCACCTTATTTTGCTAAAGCAGAAATGGTTTAAAGGGGACAGAGTCTTCTAGAGAAAAAGCACAAGTTACTCTTGCTTCACCACGTTTACAGGGTCTTCTGTGGCTATTTATCCCAGTAGAAGATGAGGAACACAAGCCAAGGCCCTGCTCACCCACTTCAGCACTGCTCTGTAAGACTCAGGGGCTTCCCTTTCCAGTGAGAAAGGACAGGAATACCCTCCAGTATGACAGAAAAAATTAAATATTATTTTATTAGCATATGTTGATTATAATAGTTAATGGCATTTTCACACACTTTAGCACAAATAATAAAAACCCAGGGACAGATATTGGGGTTCAAGCTGAAAATGAAATGAGCAAAGCAATCAGCCACTAGCGAGGCTCTGACTGAAGAGGTGATCCACTGAACTTCAGATTGCTCCTGATTGCACTGTTGCTCAGACTCACTGTATTATAATTTAAGAAAAGCAGTGCATGAGAGAATGACACAATGTGACAGGATTCAAGCAGAGGGGTTTTTATTAGAGAAAGAGATCATAAAAAGGGGAAAGGGAAGAGGGGAAGACAGGCCTCTGGAGACAGGAGCAGCAGGAAAGAGGAGAGAGGAAAGAGGGAAAGGGAGAGAGAGAGAGAGAGAGAGAGAGAGAGAGAGAGAGAAATAATCAGAAATAGGGAGAGAAAGAGAGAGAAGGATGGGAGGTGGCAAGACCCTTTTAAAAGGGAACATAGTGAATAGGCACAGGAAGTGTTCTTAGTAGCAGCAGCTGAGGGCATATCCTGTCAGGACCCCCAAGGCCAGGCCAGTACAGATGCCTGAATACTAATACACTGAGACTGCAATGCGTTCCTGTCTCCTCTTGTCTTACATTCTTCTCTCTACTTCCTTAGTGCTGGGATTAAAGGTGTGAGATCTGTTTCTGTTTTAGACTGATTCACTCTCATGTAGCCTAGAGTGGCCTTGAACTTACAGAGATCCATCTGCCTCTGTCTCATGAGTGCCAGGATTAAAGTTATGCACCACCACTGTCTGGCTTTATGACTGTGGCTATCTTTGCACTCTGATCTTCAGGCAAGCTTTATTAGATCATAAACAAAATATCACCACAACACACGCGTATAATGTGTTTTGATCATATTCATTGTATTACCCTCCTTTATCCCTTTCTTGTTCCCACTAACCCCCTTCTTTCCAGCCAATCCTTCTACTTTTGTGCTCCCTTTTCTTGTCACTGGCCCAGTGAGTTAGTGTTGCTTACATGAGCATGGATGAAGTGGTATTTACAGAAGCAGGAACAACTCACAGTGGTTTAAATGTTTATATTTTAGAGAATAAAAAGTCTGAGTGCTTCCCTTTATATTAGAAGGCCATGTACTGGAATTGTGAAAGGATGTCATTGGGCTTTGGAAAATATTGCTAGTTATCTTTCTTGAAAATTTACTCTACAAGATACACGAACACCCTAAAAGAATGCCAAGGGGAAAAAAAAATCAAGGAAATTGAATTGTTTTCCACTGATGTGAAAACAATACATTATATTTCAGGATAATTATGAATCCATTAATTTTGGGGAAAAAATCTTCTCAAATCATATAAACTTTGTTGTGTGGTCTCTCTATTCTTTACCTGAGAGATAACCATCATGCTTAATTTGTCCATCATTCTTGCTCATAGTTATGCTACTATGCACACATATGCATTTCAGATGTTCTATAAGCATTATTTTACAATATCCATTGCTCTGTAGTTGCTTTCCCCCCTGTAGCACAGGAGTTTAAGTGACAATGGCATGAAGACACCATGAGGCAAGTTTGTGAGCTATGGAACCTCATCCCATTTTCTCATTGATATGCTTTCTATTTCCTAAGAGGCTTTTAGGTACACATTTCAAAGGGTGTGCATTCAACTTGCTTTTTTTTTTTTTTTTTTTTTTTTTTTTTTTTTTTTTTTTTCAGGGTCTCTCTGTAGCCCTGAATACACTATGTAGTGATCAAGTTAGCCTTTGAATTCACAGATATGCCCATATGCCTGTCTCTGCCTCCTGAGTGCTGGGATTAAAGGTGTGCACCACCATATCAGGCTATCAACTTTCATTTATCTTAATCTTGTTGGCAGGAGCACATATAGATCATCTTCTCTGTGCTATTCCACTGCTTGTTTTCATTTGGTCATTTTATGTCCTGGAACTCTTCACATATTGTAGTGGGAGGTTTTTCTTGTCCTGCCTGCCAGTTCCCGAATAAATACTTAGAGGCTTAATATTAATTATAATTGGCTGATGGCTCAGGCTTCTTACCGGCTAGCTCTACATATAGATAAACCCATTTCTAATATTCTGCATTTTTCCACGATGACTTGTGGCTTGTTACCTCACATCTTGCGTCCCCAGAGGTTACATGGCATCTCCCTGACTCTGCTTCTGTTTGGATTTCTGGCCTGACTCTTTTCTGCCTGGACATTGGCCAAATCAGCTGTATTTGCGAAAGACTCTGATGGCACCCTATGGAAGGCCTCACCATCCAGGGGGAGCAGAAAAGATATGTGACAGATAAGGTTTTAGTTGGGGGGGCGGTAGGGGAGGATGGGTGGGAGAAGGGAACTGGGATTGTCATGTAAAACAATCCTGTTTCTAATTCAAATAAAAAAAGTTGGAAAAAAATCAGCTGTATTTGTCAACCAATAAAAACAACACATATTCGAAGCATACAGAAGGGCATCCCACATCAGTATATTATGGATATGAATCCTTTATTAAGGACATTGTAATTATCTTGTCTAACTAAGTTTTACCTTTACATTTTTTTTTTATTTTTATTTCACTGCTCATTCAATTGTGAGACATTGTATGTTTGTGGGGTACCTATGCATGTGGAGGCCAGAGGACAACATCAAGTCGCTTTCCTCAGGAGCTACCTTCCTTGGATTTTTGTTTGTTTTGGTTTTCTGAGACAAGGCCTCTCATTTGTTGAAGCTAGGCTGGCTGGGCAGGGGACCAGATCTGCCTGCCTCTGTCTCACAGCCACCATGACTAATTTGGGATTTCTTTTCTTTTATCTTTCTTTAAAAAAATCTTTTTAAAGCATATTTTAATTTCTATATTTTTACTTTATGTGCAAGTGTGTCTGTGTGAGGGTGTCGGGTCCCCTGGAACTGGAGTTACAGATAATTGTGAATTGCCATGTGGGTGCTGTGTGCTTTGGAAGGGCAGCCTGGACTACCACTTCCAGGTAGATGTGTCGTAAATAGACTGTGGTCAAAGGCCCCCTCCCAATCAGCACCTTAGTAAAATCCCCCAGCGTTACCAAGAACAGCTGCAGCAGCAGCACCAGCAAAAGCAGCAGGCATTGGAACCACGACTACTACCCGTGCCCTGCTGGCTTGGGATGGAGCCCTGGGTCTCACTTCCGCTGCACATCTGCTGTACCCGCATCTCAGTCCTCTCGGATCCCACAGGCTGCAAAAGAAAAAGAAAAAACAAAATCAGAAAGCAGTTGCGATTTAAACCCCATGTTGGCTCATAGAGAAGACACCACATGATAATACCCAGGCCATTTTTGCATCTGGTAAAATGTGCTTAGACTCCGATTTAGCAAAGTTAATGGAACATGAGTTAGTTCCAGGAGTAAAATGGAGAACAGGCTTGACCTTAGGTAGTTTACTAAGGGAGACTAATGAATATACAGAAGTCACTGGTAAGTATGACCACAGAGATATTTCTCAGCTTCGGGTTCCCTCTGGACTGAACCACCGCTGAGCAGTGAAAAGGGACAATCACACTTGCCCAGGAGCATAGAGATGGGTGAATGAATGGATGGATGGATATATAGATGGATGGATGGATGAATGGATGGATGGATGGATGGATGGATGGATGGATGGATGGATGGATGGATGCAAGCTATGGGAAAATGTCAGCCACACTAACCTGGCCCTCTGAAGAACACTAGGGGGTAGTGGTAATGCATGCCTTGGGTCTAAAGCCAGATCCATACATAATGTTAGCATCTTCACCAGCTGTGTGGTGGTTTCCATGAGCCTAACTCTCCATCAGCAGCATAGCACTAAGAATGCTGCTTATGATGTAGTAACTACTTAGTATTTCCGCAAAAGGCAGGCCTAGAGTCAGCTAGGGGCCTACTCAGTACTTTGACGGACAGTGCTCTTGCTCATCTCCATGTGTTCAAAGCCATCTAACAGATCTGGCCTTTCAGCCAGTTTTTTGTTGTTGAATATGAGAAGATTGAATTGCAGAGGTGGGCATACAGGCAGTGTAAGAAAGGAGAAATTGCTACACCCAATTTTGCTTCTGAAAATTATCATCATAGACCCTTCATATAGCAATTGATGGAAGCAGATGCAGAGATCCATGGCTAAGCACTGGGCCGAGCTCCCAGAGTCCAGTTGGAGAGGGAGGAGTGATAATATGAGCTGAGGGGTCAAGACCATTTGGGGGGTACCCACAGAAACAGCTGACCTGAGCTAGAGGGAGCTCACTGTCTCCTGACTGACAGCTGTGGAAACTGAATATGACCAAAGTAGGCCCTCTGAATGTAGGTTACAGCTGTGTGGCTTGGGCAGTCTGTGGGGCCACTGGTGTTGGGAACAGGATTTATCCTTAATGCTTGAACTGACTTTTTGGAGCCCATTCTCTTTGAAGGGACACCTTGCTCAGCCTAGATATGGGGGAAGGAGGGGTTGGTCCTTCCTCAAAGTGATGTGCCAGACTTTGTTGACTATCCATGGGAAGGCTTACCCTTTCTGAGGAGTGAATGGGGGGAGGGGAAGCAGGGTGGGAGGAAGGTGGGGGAAGCAGGAGGAGGGGAGGGAGTGGGAATGTAAAATGAGAAAAGATTGTTTTAAAAGAAAAAGAAAATTATCATTCAGTTCTTGATGGATTAATTGAATAATTGAAAGCTAAAACACACACACACACACACACACACACACACACACATACACACACACACACTACATATGAACTTTAAATAGGACTTTAGAATTAAGTTCTAGATTTGTTTATTCCTGTTGACTGTGATGTAATCTTATCTGCAATTGGATTCATTCATTCATTAATTGAGAAATGAAGTCTTATTATGTTGCTCAGGCTAGCCCTGAACTCATTCTCAAATGCTCCTCCTGCCTAAACCCTATTTATGAAGAACAGCACGGCATCTGGATTTCTTTTAATTAGCCATGCTAATTAAATTAGTAAGCGTTAGGTTAACAAAAGAGAATTAGTAAATGGCTTCCTGACCCTTTATACTCACAATACCTAGATACTGTTCCATACCACCTTAGGCTGGACTGAGCAGTCCAAGGTTGAACAGTCAGAAGGAGGCAGAGATATTTGCTGAGTTCTCTACCATGTTCTATGGGCATCTCTGGGAGATGGTGTCAAGACAGAAAGATTCTCAAATGTCTCTGGGGAGGAAACAACAGGGGCCAGTCTCTCAGCTCATCTGTGGCATTGCAACAGAAACACAGACCAACAATGGTTTATTTCACTCCAGGACACTGAGAAATGAGCCCTCACAATTCACAAAGGTGTTTAGAGCCCAACATCTCCAGAGAGCTGTTATGTTCTAAGAGATTTTGATGCAACTTTCAGAGACAACGAGGAGGACCCATTTTTTTCCCTGGGATGCAGGGCCGGTGTTCAGCATTGGCTAACGCAGTGGGGAACATTGACTCAATCAAAACCAATGTTGATTCATTCTTATTATAAGTATTCCTTCCATATTTATTGTCCTATCAGTTCTCAGCAAGAAATGTTGGTAGATGGGTGATCTGACTCTCCACAGATGTTAGACTTTCCACTGTGCCCTGGCTGACTCACCAAAGGGCTGGTATCAATCAAGCAGCCAGCTAAATCACCCTTACACTAGCACTAGGGGTTCTGAAGACATTGCTTGAAGAAACTCCCTAGAACTACTGCAACTTGCTGCTCCTGCTCCTGAAGGGCCAGCCTTAACCATGACTGTGTCTAACAATTGGCACTGGACTGTTTGCCACCACATACCTCTGCAGGATCTGAGACCATTTCCACTCAGGCCAGAGTGGAGCATGTTCCTGGTGGCTGAGCAAAGGGACTGTTGGGATTGGTGCAAAAGGGACAATGCTATGATTGATGGAAATGCAGACTTTCGTGTGCATGTTAAGATTTGATGCAACTTGAGCAGCTGTCTAACCCTGTAGTACAGTTCAGCAAGTGAGCCCGTAGCGGTGTGGTGCCCTTATTTGGCAACAAAAGGTAGTGATCTCTTGTCTACTTTGGGAGACTGAGACACAATGAAGGCAGCAGGGGCAGCAGAGACAGCAGAGCAGTGGTACTCTAGGCAGAGACAGAGGAACTCCACCCTGTGTTCCTGCAGCAGATGTGGAGCTGAGCACAGGATGAGCGGGAGCACTCAAGTGCTGGCTTCGGTGATAGCTTCAAAATGGAAAGAGCTGCAAGACTAGCTGCAGACTGTAGCAGAAGCAGCAAAGAGTGGCAACTGTGGCAGCAGTCATAGCAATGGGAGACAGGTAAACAGTGAGACGAGGAGGAAGAAGAAGGAATAGGAGGAGGAGGGAGAAGGAGAAGGAGGAGGAGGATGGAGATAGAAGAGAGAAGAGCAGAGTGAAGGATAAAAGACTAAGGAGCCAAGAAAAAACTACAGGTCGTGGCAGCTTGAAAAGTTCAAGAGATCCGTCAATCTTTTGGAACCTAGGGTCCCTGAAACCCCAAGCCTGGTGCTCTAACCCCAACACTGCCAAGAGTTGAGGAATCTTGAGGTGCCATCCTTCACATATGCTGTAACAACAGAGGGTACTGCCTACTGCTGCTTCTGCCTGTTTGCTACACTGTCAAACATGGAAGGATACAAAGATTACCAAAGCCCAGTACTTCAAGAGTGTCTGTGACTATCCTTGATATCTATGTAGGTAAACAAAAGGACTCCAGTCAACAGTTTGAGAATATTGTCTCATTAAAAATAAAAGCCTTAATTACTTTCCAGAACACATAATGTTCAAAAATGGTGGTTTTTTTGTTTGTTTGTTTTGAGACAGGGTTTCTCTATGTAGGCTTGGCTGTCGTGGAAATCACTCTGTAGACCAGGCTGGCCTTGAACTCACAGATACCTGCCTGCCTCTGCCTCTGTCTCTCAAGTGCTAGGACTAAATGTGTGTGCCACCACCATCCAGCTGTTTGTTTTTAAAAGTCACTTTGGCCAGTATATTAGGGTTTCTATTGCTGTGAAAAGACACTATGACCATGGCAACTCTTATAAAGAAAACATTTAATTGGGGTGCCTTGCTTGCAGTTTCAGAGATTGAATCCATTAGGAAATGGACTGAGACACTGCACAGTATCCTGAGTATAGGAGACCTCAAAGCCCACCCCCACAGTGACACACTTCCTCCAATATGGCCATACTTACACCAACAAAGCCACACCTCCTAACAGTGCCACTCCCTATGAGATTATGGGGGCCAATTACATTCAAACTACCACAGCCAGGACTGATGCTATTGTCTGGTACAGAGAGGAGGAGATCCTGTTAATTTAGTATAGAGCAGCCATGGGGAAGATGGAGCAGGTGGTGAGAGAGAAGGAGATCCTGCTGACTGAGTATAGAGAGCAATGGAGAAGATGGAGCAGATGGTGAGAGAGTCTTGGTGATGAGGTTGCATTCAAAAAGCACCAACAGCAAGGAGGGGAGAATCTCAGCAAGATCTTTGCTTGGACACCTTTACCAAAGACCACATTTTCTAGATTACTGAAGGCCATGAGGGAGAAGATGAAAAGGCCAGAGCCTGGTAGGTACCCCTAAAAGGTTAGCCACATGTACAGGCCAGCAGGCAACGTTACCTGCATGCTATTGAAAATTAGCAGGGGCAAGAGGTAGGGCTTCTGCCAAAAAGATGTCAGTATTGAACACCATCATGCCCTGATGATGGGTCCAATCCTTGACTCCAGCAGAGAAAGAGATGCCTGAGAGTTTTCAGGGTCTCATACTTTAATATTCACAACACCAGGTCCACCTAGTTAGTGCATAAATACCAATCCATAAAAATGCCTTTTATGTGTAATCTTAGTTGTTTGTGCACAGGTCTTGCATGTTTTTGTAGACCTTGAATGATTTTCAGACAAGGCAATGTTACTGCTGCAGGAAGCCACTTCTGCTGCACCCCTACCTCTCTGTGTTTTCTAAGTAGGTTTTGGAATTTAAAAAAATTAACAATACTGTACTGATCCAACTGATCTAACGGCTTTGGAAGTCCTGAAGACTCTTGGTTTGCTACATGA